CCTTGCAATAACACAATTCAATGCTCTTCGATTTAATTTTAAGCTTTCTCATCGATGTCGGCGGTTAGTAAAATTGAAAACTATTTCGCTCAAGGATAGTATTCAAATTGCAGCTAATGGTGATATTCGGCAGCGGACGGCTCAAAGGCGAGCAGGCCACGGTGCCTTGCACTGTTATTATCTCAACACCATCGCGCTCTCACCTAACCCATTCCTTTTTTAAAAGACCCTTCCATCTTCCTCGTTCCCTTGCAAAATGAGCGAGAGCTCGGCTCGTTTATATTAAACCCGACTCGGGGGCGTACCTCTGACAATTTATCATTTAGCGTTGCCTACAGACATTATTTGAAACGCATTAAAATCGCGGTTGTGGAAAATTTGTCGGCATCGAAATTAGTACTCCTCTCGAAGTGCATAATTTATCGCTTAGGACATATCCGGGGCGATATTTCTAATTAGAAATTCATTGACGTTGATGATCTCGAACATCTTCCGTATAATAGTGGAACTAAATGGGTTCCCATACACTTCATTATGAGCTAACATATTGACGCTATAGTTCAATATTTAAGTAGCAACACTTAAGTGGTCAACGCTTTAGATAATTATGTTATTTATGATTATGGCTTCTGAGTTATGAAGTATTAGATTGAAAATTAATTTCCAGAATCCGGTTAATTTTAATCACCAGTAAGCTTAATTATTTCCGAACGATCTATATCTCGATAAAGCGACTTATGGTTACTAACAGTAAATTATCGCTGAGAATGTCTCTACGATATCGGGTTACAACTTGGAGATAGACATTGACCGTGTGATACAAAGCCGGAATCAGTAATTTCCATGGATCCTTTTAAATTGTTGATTTTTCTTTAGCTATTGTAACTTAAAATTGCATGTTTGATTGATGTCAAATCACATGTTTGATTCATGCGAGTGCGAGGAGAGTGAGGCTCGAGCGCTGGCCGCCGCCCTGAGGAAGCTGTCACGCGCGGCGCGAACACGTGATGAATATGTATCGGCAGGCTGTACCGGCGCCTTGTAATTTGAGACTCGCCGGTAATTATTTACGTGAGAATGGGCCCGAGCCAGTGCCCCCTTCGCCCCCCGCCTCACTCCTTCTCACCGGAACGAATCGTTGATTGCGCGCGAGTTGAGATGCCGCCGCCAGATTGCTGCTCACGCTCCGGTGGTCAGCGCTGCGCCCGCGCAGACGCGACGACTGCTCGGTCCAACAGAGCCACTCTCGTCGTAAGTAGCTAACTATATCAACCTGATACGCGAGTCAAAATGTAAGCTGTGACAAGCAGAACCAGCTTCATTGCAAAAACCATGAAACCGTTAGAACTGGCCACATGTTCCATTTTTAAATACCCACCTGCCTACCTAATTAAAATTTCTAATCTGTAAATAATAATTAATGAAAAATTCAAAACAAATTTTGATTTACAAAAAACTATTTGCTAAAAGAGAAACTAATACCAGTAGACATTTTTATACCATGTTTACAAAATACAACTTAAAAACTTTAATAAATCCTGTCTACAAAACAACCACAATGAATTAATGTTATAATGACACGTTCCCCAACATCTTATTAATAAAAGAAAAAACGTTAGTGTATCAAAAATGTCTCATTTAAAACAGATAAATCACATCACATTAGCACGGCAATTTAGCACGAGACGACAATATAAGCGGAACACCGATCTCATAAGTCTCACAACGGCCATCTTGTCTTTTTTCCACGAAACCTCGCGTTGGAGTGACGACGGTTGTTTTGACTTGTCCTGACATTTGCGTGTTCCAGTGCAAACTCTCAGAATAATGGACCACTCGCCGACCAAAATTTAGACTAAATTCATTTGCAAAACGACTACCTGTGTTGATCTCGTTTATGTCAAGGAAAAGCAATGCCGTCTATGTATTAAATTTCAACAGCGTGAGTTTTAAAAATAACATAACTAAAACCATTTTTGATATTACCTATATCATCATCATACATCTCTATCTCTTTGGATAGAAGACGTATCGCCATTCAGATTCACTGGGGTTTGGCTAGAGGCACCAGATATGAGGTAAGAGACGAAGCTACAGTGAAGCACTCAAACCTTAACTGAAACTTTGACCAATGTCGGTGACATTAAATGACCTAATCTAAGGTTTTCAAAAAAATGACAACCCTACTTTTGTTAAACTATCAACTATTTCTACTTCAGAATCTCAGTTCTAACTTTGCTAATCTACCAAAATAATTAATCTAATATTGTACATATCTACAATTGAAATAGGTACAATGAAGCGTAATGAATTATCATTAGTGGAATTTCACAAAAAAGGTACATCCAGTGCCACGTTACGTTTTGATCAGAAACTACGTAGAATGTGAATAGAGTCATGCAACATGAGTTGACAGGTGTGCGACTATCTAGTACTACCATTGATGTAAATCCATGGACTATGAAGAAAATAATTGATTTACTTCAAAAATACTATTTTCATAAAAGCTTAAAATTAATAAAATGACATGGCCTTAGAACCACTGTGTTTGTTTTAACAACAAAATGTTAAATTGACTGCTTTCAATAAGTGGGCACGTCGCGCTGGCGGGGCGCGCGGCTCGATGGCGCCCCGTGGAGTACCCCTAAACACACACAGACCGCGGGGCGCCGCACCCTGCTTACTAATAACATACTCTTTCCCTCTGTCAGGCCTTATTTCATCCAGCCATCTCTTGTTTTTTCCATATTGTCGTTTTTTCGAACTGTGAGCCCACTTGGAACATTAACAATAAAACGAGTTCCTGATGATAGTAATCCTTCATCCTCATTGTCTTTTGGCAGTTTCGTGGAATAATATATGTTGTACTCTCGCGACTTGATATCTGAACGTCATATTATAAATGGCGTCGTTTAAAATATTTTAATACCCTCTACATCACGGCGATATTAATTTAGTACGCTTGAGTTGAGCGGTCGCGGTGCCACCGATGGAATGTTAAATGACGGATTACCGACCGCCGAGATTGAAAGATAACCACCCGCTCGAAATGTTGGAGATTCTAATATCATTGCCACATCTCATAACCTTTCTCTTACAGAATAACACTATTCCTCCAAAAATAAATAATTTGTTATATTATGTTGGTATCACCAATCATTAAGAACCCATATTAAAAACACTACCCTAAAATAACACACTCGTAATTTGAAACTTTTTATTTTCATGACGTTGTTTTTTAAATATTTTAAAAACGTTGGAAGTCAACAATTTTTTTTCTAAACGTTTAAATCTTTTTTTTTACAAATAATATAAACAATGTGGTGTTCACTGATTTGAATATGGAAATTTATAATAAAACAACTTTGTTTATAGTAAGTAGTGCACCGCTCAAGGGAACGTTCGCCCGCCACTTCTAACAGATGGGAAGTGTGTGGTGCGTGCGACACCGTTGACCTGTGACTACATTTATTGTTTATATATCACATAAAATAAATACTAACTATTACTAAATATATACAACTTAAGATACAAAAAAATAAAAATTTAATAAAAGAAAACTAAAAATAACTATTTACACAAAGTCGTATTTTGTTCGGACGGACAATGTAGGTATAGTTACTTCCCTTTATCATTTAATCATTTTTCTTTGATGTATACGTTACATAGCAACAGTTTTATACGTGCGGTAAAATTCGATCATTATAATTTTACAAAGTATTCGACAAATGGTACGCAGAAAGGCTGAACATCATGATTGCCTGCTTACACCATTAGAAGAGATCGCATTTCATCAAGAAAACATTGAAAAAATCCAAGACTGGTGCCCGAAACTCAAAATATTATTAATACAAAGCAATCTCATCGCTAAAATTGAAAACCTTAACAAATTGAAAAATCTTGTCTACCTAAACTTAGCGCTGAACAATATAGAAGGCATTGTAAACTTAGAAAGGTGTGAATCTTTAGAGAAATTAGATCTCACACTTAATTTTATAGGCGAAATTATAAGCGTACAGAGTCTAACGGGTTAATTCATACTTCATGGGACATCCTTGCACCGATTATGAAAATTATCGAGATGTTATAATTGATACTTTGCCCCAACTCAACCTCTTTGATGGCTGCGAGATTGATAGATCCGACCGAATAAAGGCTTTGCAAAATTTTCCAATTATGTATAAGGTCAGATATACTCTTTGAACTAGAAAACTACAGACATCAAAGAAGAAAGCAAAAGACTCGCCTGGAACAAGACATTCAAGACAAGTAGGAAAATGAATATAAAGATATGGATCCAGAAAAACGAAACGAGAAGTTTTGGGCAGAAAATTGTGAGCATGCTCCCGAAGTGCGTTATGAGATAGAGAAAATGCGCCAGCTGAAACGGAAAAGTTAAGAACCAGAAAAAAAACAAGAAGATAAACGTGTATACAAGTTTTTCGCTCCAGATGGAAGACCATACAACATTAACCAAGCAAAAATAGACTTTGTCTTTACTGATGATGATCCTGAAAAGTATGTTTTGGACTTAGCAGTGTATAAACACATGGACACAAATCTTGTGGATGTTGATGTCCAGCCCAACTATGTTAGAGTTATGATAAAGAATAAAATATTTCAACTCCATCTACCGGTACAGGTCGACAAAACTAACTCTACAGCGCACAGATCAAACCGAAATGTAATGCTATTGTTAAGGAACCAGCTAATACGAATAACGAAGATGGTAATAAAACGCAGTTGTATTGTGAACACAAACCAAAAGACTGTAACGATAAACTTGGACAAACAAAACAGGAATATCTAAAAATTGGTCTTGCAGAAAATGTTTTAGATTTTACGAAAATGACTCTACCTAAAGCAAAACCTGATTACATCGATCCAAGACTTAGAGTCGATGAAAAGCAGCCATCAGCAGTTTTTGTTGACAATCCAGACGCACCTGATCTGATTTAAGTTATGCCTACTGATTTGCAAACTTTGCGATAATATCGACTAAATGAAAAACTCTGGTTTGGGTTGATTGATTTATTTATTTTAATTAAGTAATAAAAAGAAAATACAGCACCAATCAGGGCAGTCAACAGTTTCATTACACTTATATGAATTTAAGTACTGTATTATAGTATTAAAAAGGGCATTTAAATATGATTTATAACCCTATTATGACATATATTAGTTGTACTTGAATAAAAAATATGATAAGATTTCACCTTAACTACATTGAAGTATATTTGAACTCTTAAACTAAACAACTATAACAAAAATTAACTTTATTAATAGCTAGAACATTATTGAGACAGTTTGTGAAATATTAAAAATTGTAAAGACAAAGAAAATTAATGTAAGAATTAAACATTAACACAAATTTTGTGAAAAATAAACCTACTTTGTGAAAAATAATCCATCATACCTTGATAAAGTTCAGGATGATGGACTTAAATAAAAACAAATTTCAAAGACGTAAAATTCAATATAGGACTTGACATATAAGGAACTGTTTTACAGTAATTATTGTTATCATCTTTTCCTATTTCTCTACCTAATTCTAACAAAAACTTGATGACTCTCAATTTATTCACGGGCCATGCCGTTTGTAGTAGCGGCAGGCATTCCTACCGTCAAGGACAAAAATCCATCAACGTCCTTCATTTCCATCGATGTAAACTTGGCAGAAATCTGGTGGTGATCTGCCCACGGTGGCATCAACTTGAACTGAGCAGTTGCAAACGATCCTGGCGCCACATTCTGGGAAAATATTAAATTACAAACGTTAGTAAGCTTCACGTAAATCCAAATGAACCTTGCGGCACACCCGATAGCGCCATTGAAACTCATGGTAGTTTGATAATAGTAAGATAGATGGCGCTAGTAGTATAATGACCGAACCTTGCAGCCTTGCGGCACACTCGACAGCGCCATTTCCGAACAGTAGATAGATGGCGCTAGTAGTATCACTTTAAGAAATGCGTTAATTGATTGACTTTGATTTATTTGTTTTTTTTTTATTTTTATTGTAATTTTATCAAATTCGCCTACAATTAAAAATAAAATCCCCTTATCCTTACCTCTTTTAGCTCAATTTCAAGTTGTTCATCAAGGCCGGGCCCTTGGATGTAGAACTTGCCCTTAGTAAGTGGGATAGGCAGTGAGTTCTGCACTTTAACATTAACAGAGACCTCTTGATGCGACACTGGCTCTCCATCAATACTGATTTTGATATCAGGGTTGCGAACCCTGAAGTCACGTTGTGCTGAGTAGTCGAATTTTGTGTCCACGATTGTCGCTTGGCAAGCAATCTTGAAGGAAGCCTGGAAGGTAAACAAATGAGGAATTCCTACATTATACTTGTTTATAAAAAAAAACAAAAGTATATAATGTATAAAATATGAAATTATCTTATAATTCCCACATTAAAGTTTTATTATTATGAAATAACTAACTGTTATCCGCGACTTCGTCCGTGCAAAACAATATATTCTGGCAGAAACTGGGCCTTTGAATTAGTCTTTCCCAAGGTATATTCTATACAATTGTAGCCAGTGTCATCGGAATCGATTCAGTACCTAGGTTATAGGTAGATATTTATAGTGAAATTGGTTCAATGGTTTAAAAGATGGAGAGATCCAGAAGTTTAACGCAGTTCCTGTCCAGTACAATTTCCGAGATAGAAAAATCATACGTCCTTTCCAGTGCTAGTGTCTGAAACTCCCGTTGAACCGAATTTGAATCAAAAAGGTTCAGTGGTTAATAATATTAGTATCCAACCTCTTTGGATACCTCAATGTCATGATGACAAAAAAATTAATTGTCAATGATCCATTGGCATAACCAAAGAGTATAATAAGTATAGGGGCATAACACTCACTTGTTAATAAAAATAACATGTCAGATAACATAGAAATGTAAATTTATTATGTTTTGGTTTTAGTTGACTTCTCGAACGCCTTCAATATGGTCAGTCATGACATCCTTTTAGCCATCCTTTCCCATCTAACGATCTCTGACAAATCATTGAACTGGTTTTCATCTTATCTTCGGGCCCGCCAGCAGTCTGTCAAGCTTGATGATACTTCATCGGGTTGGCGCGAATTAACGGCTGGTGTTCCTCAAGGCGGCATACTATCACCTCTTTTATTCTCTATCTTTATTAATCTCATTACTTCTGAACTTCAGTGTGCGTACCATCTATACGCTGACGATTTGCAACTGTACTGTCAGGCCAGTGTTGACAGACTCTCTGATGCGATCTCGGAGATGAACGGTGACCTGGTATCCATCAAGAACTGGTCCGAGAGATTCGGTATATCAGTTAATCCCGGCAAATGCCAGGCTATTATAATAGGTAGCTCCCGTACGCTGGGTGGAATAGACCGAGCATCATTTCCAGCCGTGCTCTTTGATGGTGCAGTAATTCCGTTTGGTACTGACGTCAAAAATCTGGGTTTGCATATTGACTGCAATTTAAAGTGGCATGCTCAAATCACAAATGTATGCAGGGGGGTTACTGGATCATTGCGTGCTCTGTATCGCGTAAAAAATTTGCTTCCTCCCGCTACAAAGGCCATGTTGGTGCAAGCCTTGGTTTTCCCTATCATCGATTATGCTGATGTCTGCTACTACGACCTGAATGCAGATCTCCTCAATAAGCTCGACCGACTTCTAAATAACTGCATCCGATTCGTTTTCAACCTGCGTAAATACGATCATGTTTCTGCACATCGGTTGCGACTAAAGTGGCTGCCCATACGCCAGCGCAGGGAGCAAAGGGCGCTAACCACTCTATTCTCCTTTCTTTCTTCAGCTTCTTCACCCAGTTATCTATCCCCTTACTTTCAATACTTATGCGCAAACCACAGTAAAAATCTTCGTTCTTCTCACAACCGTCTTCTCCAATGTCCCACTCATCGCACTGACTTCTTACATTCATCCTTTTTCGTACAGGCAATTTTTCTATGAAATGCGCTCCCCCTGGATGTCAGGATGGTCTCAACTCGACTAACTTTAAGCAGAAAGTACGTGAGCTTTTCCTAAAGAGGTTGGCTGAATCATCGCGCTAACTATCCACTGTGTACTAGTAAGCAAGTATATATTTATATATTATGTATATATGTATGTATGTAGGCATATTGTACTCATGTGAAGGTATAAATTATAATTAAATTTATTTATGTATGTATATCTCCGAAATATATTAGTTTATCTTTCATTGTTAAATAAAATCACTGCTTGCCTCTTGCACCTACCATTTACTCTTCTCTGCATCACCCAAAGGTCAGACTGGTAGAAAATGCCTGCGGCATTAAACTGTCAAACACCAAGCGGTCACCGGTGACCGCAACCTATTTTTCTATAATTATTATAGAACAATATTCTACAAAACCGGTACTCGACGAGTTAAGTCCACCTTTTTGTACATTTTGTGCATGAAGCATTTTAAATAAATAAATAAATATTATCTGTATAAATTTGTAATTAAAAGTACCCTTAACCGACGAGCATGCATGAAAAGATTGATGACTGTTAATGAAGCGAAAGAGGTATGTAAGAATCGTAGTAATTGGCGTTCCTTAGTCTCTGCCTACCCCCATGGGAGACAGGCGTGAAGTTATGTATGTATGTATGTATAAATTTGTGGGTGTCTGTTTATTTTGTTACAAATTGATGTGTTTTTTTTGTTGAGTGGAGATAGTTGAAACGATCGAAAGTAGCATAGGCTACATTTTGTTTCTTTCTAACGCACCACTTCCCTAAAACAGGGGGTGGAAGTCGGTATGGACCATTTCGTGATTTTCAAGAAACCTATAATTGGTATCATATTTATGACCAGCAAAACATTGGGAACCAATTATTATTTATATTTTGTAAAAACCATGGCCAGAAGCTAGTGCCTACTTACATGAATTAAATGTATTACGTTAATTGAATTCTTATTTTTTCTATAAATTCCCTGACTCTGATGCAACCAAATACTATTATTAGTCCTTGAAAACGGTTGACTATTGGCAGTCATAGGGTTAAGCAATATAAGGAGTTTTTTGGTAGTATTTCCACATATCGGGTTACAGTATCGAAATTTTCACACGGTACCGTGCCGTACGTACGTAACGTACCTACCCTTTTTTATTTCTTAATAAATATAGCCTATGTTCATCATCGATAATGTAGGATTACAACGGTAAAAGAATTTTTGAAATCGGTCCGATAGTTTCGGAGGGGATGCCATTCAAACAAACAAACAAAAAATGTAATCTTTCCTCTTTATACTATTAGTGTAGATTATTGGTGTAGATAAATAATATTAATAAAAAAATATAATTTCCTATGATAAAATTAATATTTATGCGTTAACAAATTCTGATTTTCTCTCAAAAGTTCTGTAAACAAATATCTGCAAATCAGTTACCTGATCACCCAGCTTCTTGTAATAATCATCGAAAGTGACCAGCATCTTGATGACTTCTTTGCTTTCGGGTTTGAGGTTAATATTAAAGTCTGACCTCTTCACTTCATCGCCTGTATTTCCTGTACGCGTCGCTGTGTCTACACGAAGGTTACCCTGCACCTGGTGTGATTGACTTGCACGATTTGTAACGTGTAAGATCTGAAATTAAGAATAAAAAAAATTAATACAATACAATAACAACAATATTCGTTGGAAAATACTTTTGTTCTTTTCTCTTTCAAAGGTTAAATGTCATGTGTGGTATAGCAATTACAGCTGAAAGTGAACAGTCTGCCCGTTTTCAAAGTCACTCTCTACTCTCACTACTCTACCAAATTCTCATTATTTTTCGTAGCTTCATCCAATAATCTAAATAAGTGCCCTACGAGTCCTACACGAATCCAGTAGGTCTTTTAAAGGGGGCATGTCATCGAGTGATTTCTCCCGCCTATGGTGAGGCAGGAGGGAGTGTTCAGACTCTTACTCACTAAAAACCAACCCGTTCCTACTCCTGCACTTCGAGCCGGAGCCCCGGTAATTCGTTAGGTTCTCCGCGACATTCAGTACGTCTAGGAATGCGTTTATGTGGTGGTAAAACCTAGGTGCTTTACTTATACAGTAATTCGAAACTTACCACATTGAAGTCCTGCCCAATCTTAATGTCGTCCTGAAGATCGAAGTCGAAGGTGACGTCATTGAACACCGCTTTGAGGTAGTCCCTCGCGTATTTACTATCAGACTTACGCAGGGCCTTCTCCATTGTCATACGTTCTTCGGGAGTTCCTTCTGGATATTTATACGTGTTTGTGAGGTACTGGAATGTTATTAGACATTTTTATATTATTTCATTTCTTCTTCACAACAGATAACAGCAAAGAGTATAATAAGTATAGGGGATGATAACAGTGAATGGCGCATTCTCTGACAGTCAACCATAAAGAAGTGCTGAGAAATAAAGGAGGTCGGAGGTCAAAGCGCTCCCAAAAGTAGCGCTTTGAAGAACGATTAAAAATATTAAAATTTATTTCCTCGAAGCGCTCCCATGATTAACTTTCGGATAGAGATGGGACTTTATTAATTGAAATTATCGATAAGAACTAGGTAACAAGTAGAATACATTGTTATAATATACAACTAGCGGCTCGTCTCGGCTTCGGTATTTCTAGGTATTGGCAGGAGATGAACAAGAAATATTATTGAGAATATGACATATTGTTTGGATTAATGCTACTCTTTGAAGGAAACTTTATGTACCTAAGAGTAAATTATAATTATTTTTCACTTTTCAGTAACTTTTAACAAACATACCTCATATTTCATCTTTCCCACAGCTTTCGTTACAATCTTTTGTCCATACCATGTGGCGTTTGATTTGAATAACTGTAGTGGCTGGTTTTTTCCACAGTATTTCCATGTTAACTGAAATTAGAAAATCCACCTCTTAGTCAAATTTATAAATCTCTTTCGTGGGCAAATAAATTCACCTCCATATAATTTACATAACTTTTAACCCCCATATTTTTACATAGTTCTACCTAGGACTACTGCAGCTTTCACATAATTTAAGTATATTTTTTTAATGACAAGGACAAGTTCGCCACGTCCTCCCAAAACCGCTGCAACTCCTGTAAACCCGGATCTACACATGAAAACACCGCAGTCCCAGACATGAATTATTCTTGAAATAAATCAGAAAAGAGGAGTAGAAAAAAGCAATAGTTTCCACTGTCCTCGGTGAATTACTTCAAGAGACGGAATAAATTACTGGTGCAGATCCTAGCGGTCACCGGTGACCGATCTCCACTTACACCATTACGGACCTTATTTCCGATGTTTATAGACTACTTTTGTATGAACTAATTTTCATAATCGGACAGTTGTACAACTAGAAGAAGCCCAGTCGCCGAGTACCACGGAAATTTTACTAAAAACTAAGTAGGTCCTATGTGTAAGTTGTTATACTTGCTTCCAATAATAGGTATGGCAAAAAAAGTCTAAACGCACGGGGTTCTACATTCCACAAGGTACGTGTAAAATAAATGCACCTAACGAAACAATTAAACTATCTAACGTAGTCTTACATTCATATTGCCAGAGACCACACTCCTAGAGTATGTGATGGGTGGACTGCTCGTAGAATAGAACAAAATAGAATAAACTTTGTTGTACACCATTAATAATATAGTACATACAGAAAAGGAATTGAGAAACAAAAATAAAAAATAATAATGGGCACAATGGCGGTCTTATCACTTATAGTGATTTCTACCGTGGTCATATTTGCGCATGAAAAATATGAACCTGATGCGGAAATTTTAGGATCTCTCTAAAATATCTAACTGCTCCTCAGTAAGATCTAAATAGCTGGTATCGGTGTAGTCAAGGAGAGAGGCAGAAGTGATCGAGCGAGCGCCACTTTGGTAGCAGTTGGCAGAAAGTTTCTGAACCTGCGTAAAGATACTGCAGACGCAAATATTTTGTGGCTGACTTCTCGCAGCTGTGGCCCCCAAGAAAAGTCTTTGTCTATCAGGATCCCCAGATCCTTCACAGTGTCATTGTAAGATATTCTGGTACCATTAAAGATGATCGGTGAAATCTGTGACCGTCAGACTATCTTTGAACGCAATTGCGGGGTACCGACAACAATGACATGCGTCTTCGCAGGATTGATGTTAAGCCCGTGAACCTTACTCCAGTTGGAAATCCGTACTAGGTCAACCGTGAAGTACGTCTCACGAAAGTTTTAATATAAACATGTTCATTGTTCATTGGTTTGTTTATATTTCGTTCCTTTTTGTAATAAATCGTCCCGTTCCTATGCGTATCGCAAGCAGCACAAGTCGTTTTATTTAATTAGTAAATACAACAGCGATAAAAAAACACCACTGCACCGAGCGCACGTGCGGAGGAAAGTGAGTGTAAGTACCCTGTCAGCATTGACTGTTGCGAACATGAAAGCAGTATCATAAGGTTTCTGTATCTCTCCATTGCGAACTGCTCTTAGTGATGATGGACCGCAACGGAGTATGCCCTCAGATTTTTCTTGTGGTGTCGAGTCTAGTGCCTGCCATCCACCATAATCGGGTCCCAAGTCTGGACGCTCCATCCACACCTACAAAACAAGGACATTCTTTATATCTTGGCTAAATTCACGTTGCTAGAGATATTACGTAAAGTAAAAGCCCAGTGGTAAAAACTATAAAATTAATAAAGACTAGCTGTTGCCTGCTGTTGATTGGATTTTGCGTAGGACGCAAACGCGTACTTATGTAGGTACTATTTAAGGACGCAATATGTTTGAACAAACCGTAACACTCTGTTTGATGAATCGAAATGCACGAATTGAATCTGAAAATAACATAAACCGAGTGAAAGCAACACCAGTAGCGTTGCATTTGAAATGTAAAGTATTGTGGAGGGCAGACAGCATTCACTCCGTGTAACACACCAGCTAACATTCACTCAAATGTGGTTAAAACTCGATGTCGACCACACTTACTAAGCAGCGACATAAAGGTAATAAGAAAAATAGAATTTCATATAACAACAAGTAGTATGTAGTGTTCCTACCTCATTCCAAACGTGAAAGTTCCATTCTCTGTCTTTGCTCAAGTCTTCGAGTTTATTTTCTTTGTCATCTATAATGATATCTAAGGTAAGACTTCCATCAGTGTCATGAACAACTTCGGTACCCGTGACAGGTCGACAAGGAATACCTAGGGCTCGGCAAACTGTAACAAATATTTAAATTAGAATCCTGATCGATTTAGCCATTTTAATTTTTCTGTAATAATGCACATTTACATATAGGTATCGTTACATAAATAAATAAAAAACCCTTTTATTTCTTAGAAAATGTATGACTTATTCGTCAACCTGTGGGGCAAAATCTCGCGGGCGTCCGCCAGTTGGCACGAAAGGTGCCATTTTACCTAATTCTATATCGTCAAGTCTCTATAGAGGTAAAATGGTTATTTTTGCACGGTTGGCAACAAACATTTTGCTTAAAATGTAATACAGGTACGCTTTTATTTTTTAAACTTTGCCCCACATAATGCGAGGACAAAGAGATAGAAAACGTTTTTATAATAACTATCGGGAGACATACTAAATTTACTAAACATTGCGGACTTCTCACGTGACTATACTGAGAAAAGCTCTACTAGTTTCGAACCACAGAGGGGTTCTTCCTCATGAGCAGCGTGCGCGGTTGCGGCGATGTCGCGCAGCCTACTGGCTAGCGTTGGCGCTCGCCTCGGTGTTGCTACTTGCGCATCTAGCCCAACGCGCCCGCCCTGAGGACACGGTGGAACACACTGTAGCGGAATGCCTTGTGTGGGCTGAGCACCGCCGTGCCCTCAGGGAAGTGATTGGCGATGGCGACCTCTCGCGTCCGGGCCTAGTGCAGGCCATGATGCGAGAGGGACTGGGATGCCGTCTCTTCCTTCTGCAAAGTAGTTATGCTAGCTAAGGAGGAGGCGGGACGCGTGAGGCAGCGAAGCGCTGCCTCCTCGCAACCCAGCCATCGCAAAGGACACACCGGCGCGGGCCTGCGGACGGCGAGCATGGGTGGCTCCCCGTCGGACCAGAAACAGACCCGAGCGTACGGCGCGTCGCGTTCCGCGCGCGCCTCAAAGAGCCATCAGACCACCACAGATGGGGCCCAATAGGGCCGAT